TCCTTCTGAGCGGGGCTTATTGTTGCAAGGAGTGGGGTTTTCCTTTCCCCCCTCTGCGTACGATTTGGACTTGGGTTCTGCTCCTCCCCGGGTTCGGTTCTGTGTCCCTGTGGATTCTTCAGTTCCGTCTTTCCAGAGGTTTTCGGCTACCCGCATCTCTTTGCCTTAGGTGCAGTGGGCATTTGCAGCTTCCCTCCTGCGTGACCCAGAGTACGCCTCCATAATGGATCCTTCTTCATTCAGGTTTGGATAGTTGTGTGCTTACTGGGTGCATTATTAGGTTCTGGGGGGTCGTCCTGGCTTGCAGACTGCCTCTTGTTTTCGCTGGATGCTTGGGATTCGTTCTGTCGGACCCGCATGTTTGAGTGGCGTGAGGCGTTGACGGTGGTCCAGGTTTACCTGGGAGCAATTTTGAGCACCTTAATGAGTGTCTTTTCGCTCTTGCCCTTCTGCAGGATGTTGGTGCGGTGCAGCTCCATGTGCAGGTTCCTTCCCTGTCGGCTGCTTTTGTGGCGGAGGATTTGCGCACTCGTGGGTTTTTGGCTTCGGTCCTGCGTTTCTTTTCCCTCCTGGAGCTGTCTTCGGATTGGCTTGCGGAGGATGTTGAGGCGCTTGGGGCCGTTCCTGGGTCTGACACCTTGGTCTCGGCTGCTCGGGCGTCATCTGCCATGTTGAAGCTCTTTGCACCGATCCTGCAGGAGGCGTTGCTGTGGTTTTTTCCTGAAAAGTGGGGGTTCTCTTCGATCCTTGCCTCTTTGGGGTTCTCTTCGGTCCTTGCCTCTTTGGGGTTGGTCCCTTCGAGTGGTTCATCTGCTGAATTCTCGGGGTTTGGCTCTCCTTGCGGTGCATATCCGGGGAGTATCCAATGTCTTGGCGGACGGCCTGTCTCGCTTCATTCCCCCGTCCATGGAATAGACGGTCGACGACGAGTCTTCGTTGGATATGCGAGACGTACAGTCTCCCAGATGTGGGCCTCTTCGCATCAGCATGGACTCGGCATCTCCCAGTCTATGTGACGCCCTTCTGTGATTGCGAGGCGTTCACGGTGGATGCCTTTTGGCAGGACTGGTCGAGATGGGGTTACCTGTACCTCTTTTCCCCGGTCCAGCTGTTGCTTCGGGTTCTGGCTTGGTTAGAGACCTTCCCAGGGAAAGTAGTCCTTGTGGCCCCTTGGTGGCCGGCGCTGTTTGCTCGGTGTCCAAACCCGGGGCGTTTCTCGCAGCTCCACTTTTTTCAGCAGGTCGGCCCGGTCCGTTACGGGGCTGGTTTGACTTTCTCCTCTACTCTTCGCATCTAGTCTTTTTGATGGTGGTGTGTCACCATTTCTATGGTGATCAGGTGGCTTCATTGATGGTGTCCCACCTGAGAGCTTTGTCTTAGCGACAGTATGAAGTTTCCTGGCATTCTTTTCGCCATTTTTTTGCTCTTCATAGGTTGCCTTCTCTTTCGGATTGCATTGTCTTGTCGTTTCCTTCTTGGCTTTTTCAGGACTGTCATTTGATGCCTAATACTGTCACCTCGTATCGTGCAGTGCCGGCAGAGCCGGTCCAGGTAGCGTTCGGGGTGGACATCACATCCGCCCTGTTCTGTAAGCTTTCTCGTGCTATGTTTCACCTCCGGTGTGCTCATGCGCCGCCTGAGCCATCCTGGTCCTTGGACAGGGTGCCCTCCTATCTTTCCTCTCCTCGGTTTGTGGTGGCTCCTTCAGATCAAGATTGTTTTTCCAAAGCTTTATTTTTGTTGGCATTGGCGTCTGGGGGGTCGGGTAGGGAAGCTTCATGCTCTCCTCTGGCGCAGGAGTTTCTGCTCTTTTGGTCCTGAGGGTAGGTTTGTCCGTTTGCAGCCTTCTCCATCTTTTCTGGCGAAGAACGAGACGGCTTCATTCCGGAAGGGTCCGTGGGTCATTGATGCTTGGTTGGTTCGGCCAGGGGTGTATCATGTGTTGTTTGGTTGCGGCTCTTTGCTGTTACCTACGCGCCTCAGCTGGGGTGGCTGGGTATGCGCTTTGGGTTGATCCAGTTTCCCTCGTTCCCTGTTCCAAGGCTCGGGTATCCCAGGTTGTTCGAAGGGTTATTAAGTCTAGCCAGCCTGTGGTCTATCCTTGCACTCATGACGTTTGGAAGTTTGCAGCTTTGGCTGCCGTGTTTGGTAACATGTCTTAGGCTCATATTCGGGCACGTGGATTTTTTTGGATGTCAAACAGGGTCCTGGTAGCCCGTTATTTGGTGAATGTGCCTGCTCCTTGGCATTCTTGTGTTGCTTTGGGTTGCAGGTTGCAGCCAGTTGTCTTGACTTCGTGTTGTGAAATTTATGGCTGCTGCCTCCCGGGTAAGTCGCTATTTTCCTTCTCTTTGGGTATGTAGCTCCAGGGAGCCATAGGGGCTCCCCACAGAAAATCAGCATTGAATTTAATGAAACACCATTTTCTGGGTGAGCCCTAGAGGCTTCCTGGTAACCTTTCCTCCCACCGGTCGACGCTTTATTCACGTTGGTTGAAGTCTAGTTTCCAAACTGAACGCAGCCGGCGCGGTGAGGTCCAGGGCCCCCCTTTCCCCTCTAGGGGAGGGGAGCCCTGCGCGGACAACATGCACGGCAGTAAAATGTGATAATTGCTTGTTTGCTTGTTTCTTTGCGATTGTAGAGAGTTTCTACCTCTCTGTTCTGTTTTTTGTTTTAATTTCTTACCATGTGGGGTTTGTTTTATTATGCCTACCTTTCTGGGTGCCTAATCCCGGTCGATGGCAGATAAGGAAAACCCCAAACCACAAGGAGGTTTTCCAGGGCCATTGCTCCCTGAAGCCTCTCTGAAGGGGCCAGGTTCTGGCGCTGGTCCCTGGTAGGTCCGAAAACCATAGCTAATGTCCCGGTCAAATATAACATACATTAGCCCAATAAGCTCCAGGGAGCCTCTGGGGCTCACCCAGAAAATGGCGTTTCATTACATTCAATGCTGGTTTTTTGGTACTAATAAGGCACTATTAGCAAGCCCCTGAGACATCTTGCTGTATAACAATACAGCTGTGGTCAAAAAATGGTAAATGCCACGATTATTCTTTGACAGGCGGACATTCCCGTCACTTGCAGACAAAGCTAACGACAGTGGGCGCCTACTGTATGAACGCAAACTAGGTCTATAAACGCTACAGTAGGCTGGTATTTAAGCCAGATCTAGTATCATAAATTTTTCACATATTGGATTTACATCAAATTATGTATTTTTGGGTTATATATTGAGTTTAGCAACATTATTATGATAATAAGAGCTATAAAAAATACTTACTTTAGAACCGATTTATTAATTGTATTATTTCAAAGCAGTAGGTAACTGAACTGTGGCGATGAAATTGAACGAATCACGCATGGTGCTGTGTGTACACGGATTAGACCCATCCACTTGGCTTGGAGTTGTTGTGCCAACAACATGAATATTTTCTCAAATAGCAGATGTACTCACCTAATTGTACTCACCTAATTGTGCTTGCGCGGGTTGAGCTCTGGCTCTTTGGTCCCGCCTCTCAACCGTCAATCAACTGGTGTACAGATTCCTGAGCCTACTGGGCTCTATCATATCTACATTTGAAACTGTGTATGGAGTCAGCCTCCACCACATCACTTCCTAGTGCATTCCATTTACTAACTACTCTGACACTGAAAAAGTTCTTTCTAACGTCTCTGTGGCTCATTTGGGTACTCAGCTTCCACCTGTGCCCCCTTGTTCGCGTCCCACCAGTGTTGAATAGTTCATCCTTGTTTACCCGGTCGATTCCCCTGAGGATTTTGTAGGTTGTGATCATGTCCCCCCTTACTCTTCTGTCTTCCAGTGTCGTAAGGTGCATTTCCCGCAGCCTTTCCTCATAACTCATGCCTCTTAGTTCTGGGACTAGTCTAGTAGCATACCTTTGGACTTTTTCCAGCTTCGTCTTGTGCTTGACAAGGTATGGGCTCCATGCTGGGGCCGCATACTCCAGGATTGGTCTTACATATGTGGTGTACAAGATTCTGAATGATTCCTTACACAGGTTCCTGAACGCCGTTCTGATGTTAGCCAGCCTCGCATATGCCGCAGACGTTATTCTCTTTATGTGGGCTTCAGGAGACAGGTTTGGTGTGATATCAACTCCTAGATCTTTCTCTCTGTCTGTTTCATTAAGTACTTCATCTCCTATTCTGTATCCTGTGCCTGGCCTCCTACCTATCGTGTGCCATAAGATGTCTATCATAATACAGTATATTTTTGGTTTTATTTAGTTTAGTTTAATTAGGATAATATAGAGCTATTAAAACATCGGTTTTAGAAACGATATATTAATCTGAAAATTTCAAAGTCATGGGTCACTGAACTATGACGACACAGAGGAAGGAAAACCCAGTGAGGTTTACAGTACAGTATTCCCTTATCTGTCCACCTTCACTCATCTTGTTTCATCACAGAAAATGGCTATAAGGAGATTTCACTACATGTATCTAGCTATTCATGCTTCAGCCTTTAAATTAATTTACAAAGATACGTGTGCCATAAATCAGTGAACGAAAATCAAGGAAATTCTGTCGTTCACTTGGGCGGACCACTCTGGCTGGTGTTTGGTTAATATGGTTCACTTGTTTTGTTTACCACTCTGGCTGGTGTTTGGTTCATATAGTTCACTTGTTGTGTGGTCCACTTGTGTGATCAAGCTTGTCATAAGAAGAAATTATTAATTGTAACCTGAAATAGAATGGGAAAGTGTTCCACCAGTCTGTGAACTCTGTCCCAACATCGTAAGCCAATCCGCACATCCCCTGCTTCAGTGAACCAGAGTTCGCCGAACCCGGTGAGTAAATCCGGCCTGAAAAGTGTGCGACCTAGATGGAGATTCGCCAAATCAAGGTACGTTAAATCGAGGTTGAACTGTACATTCAACGCTGGTTGTTTCACATGTATAGACATGATATTGTGTGTTTTGGGGATTCTACCTGTCTCAAAATCTATACATTATTCCATTTTGTAACTTTTTTCATAGGCTAGCTTTCACACTTACGAAGAAGAAACATGTAAGGTGAGCTTGTTATCATGCTATGAAGATGATGAAATAGATGTGGAAGATCAGTTAATAGACTGTGGTGTTGCTGCTGTGTCTGAAGTTAGGTAAGTAATATAGCTGTTTCGTACAAAATATTAACATCAGTTTTAACAAATGTTTTATATTTCAGAGATGTACTTATAGTGTAATGACTGGTATATGAAGTCCAGCATTTATTTTTTTAAGCTAAATGGTTTGCCTAAGTTAAAATGTTTTATTTTTTGTTAATTTTTGTTTCATTTGTCAGTGTTTCTGAGTATGTTGAGTTATGTATTGATAAAGGTATATGCCTATGCGTGTGTAAAGTTTTTGACACACACACGATTTTTGTGAGGGTAGCATCCCACCATCCCACAAGGACAGAGAGGAGCTAGATTTCACCCACAGAGGGTATGTGGTGTGTGCTTGTGACGTGCTTACCTCAGTGTTGAGGTAGTTTACCACAGTTATCTCAGTATTACTTGAGTTGAATCATCCATCTGGTGAGTGTACAGTTAATTACCATTGTATTATATCCCATTCTCTGTAATTCCCCAAGTTTAATTACCTAATTGTAGTTACAGGATGAGAGCTAATCTTGTGCTGTACCATCTTCCCAGTACTGTCATATAACACTTGGAAACTACTGACAGTTTTGGCCTCCACCACCTTCTCACTTGGCTTGTTCCAACCGTCTACCACTCTGCTTGTGAAAGAAAACTTTCTAATGTTTTTCGGCACCTCTGTTTCCTTAATTTGAAACCATGTCCTCTTGTTCATTATGTTGCTGGTTTCAGGAATTTCTCCTTGTCAATTTGGTTGATTCCTGTTAGAATTTTTATGTGGTGATCATAACACCTCTTTTTCTTCTATCCTCTAGTTTAGGCATGTTTAATCCTTAAACCGCTAAGGGCTTTTTGGCCTTCAACACCGCCACGTGCAACAAAAAAAAAAAATCCAAAAAAATCTTTCCTCTTATAAAAGCATTCATTTGTGGTCCCTGATCACGGAAAAAAAAATTGTAGGTGGCATATTTCGGCCACAATAGGGCAGGGAAGTCTGGGGGGGGGGGGAAGCGTTGACAGAGCAGACGCCAGACGAGGTCTGCTCTGCCCTAGCTGTGTGTGTAATTACCTAAGTGTAATTACCTAAGTGTAGTTACAGGATGAGAGCTATGCTCGTGGTGTCCCGTCTTCCCAGCACTCTTTGTCATATAACGCTTTGAAACTACTGACGGTCTTGGCCTCCACCACCACCTCCCCTAACTTGTTCCAACCGTCTACCACTCTATTTGCGAAAGTGAATTTTCTTATATTTCTTCGGCATCTGTGTTTAGCTAGTTTATATCTATGACCTCTTGTTCTTAACGTTCCAGGTCTCAAGAAATCTTCCCTATCGATTTTATCAATTCCTGTTACTATTTTGTATGTAGTGATCATATCACCTCTTTTTCTTCTGTCTTCTAGTTTTGGCATATTTAATGCCTCTAACCTCTCCTCGTAGCTCTTGCCCTTCAGTTCTGGGAGCCACTTAGTAGCATGTCTTTGCACCTTTTCCAGTTTGTTGATGTGCTTCTTAAGATATGGGCACCACACAACAGCTGCATATTCTAGCTTTGGCCTAACAAAAGTCGTGAACAATTTCGTTAGTATATCGCCATCCATGTATTTAAAAGCAATTCTGAAGTTAGAAAGCGTGGCATAGGCTCCTCGCACAATATTCTTTATGTGGTCCTCAGGTGATAGTTTTCTATCTAGAACCACCCCTAGATCTCTCTATCAGAATTCTTTAAAGATTTCTCACATAATATATAGGTTGTGTGGGGTCTGTGTTCTCCTATTCCACATTCCATAACATGGCATTTATTAACATTAAATTTCATTTGCTAAGTGGCACTCCATGTACTTATTTTGTCCAGGTCTTCTTGAAGGGCATGACAATCATCTAAGTTTCTTATCCTTCCTATTATCTTAGCATCATCAGCAAACATGTTCATATAATTCTGTATACCAACTGGTAGATCATTTATGTAGACAATAAACATCACTGGTGCAAGAACTGAACCCTGTGGTACTCCACTTGTGACATTTCTCCAGTCCGATACATTGCCTCTGATCACAGCCCTCATTTTTCTATCAGAAAGAAAATTTTTCATCCATGTTAGAAGCGTACCTGTCACTCCTCCAATATTTTCCAGTTTCCAGAACAACCTCTTATGTGGAACTCTGTCGAAAGCCTTTTTTAGGTCCAGATAGATGCAGTCAACCCAACCATCTCTTTCCTGTAATATCTCTGTTGCTCGATCATAGAAACTGAGTAAATTCGATACACAGGATCTTCCAGATCGAAAACCATACTGTCTGTCTGATATTATATCATTTCTCTCCAGGTGTTCAACCCATTTAGTTTTAATTATTTTTTTCAATATTTTGACTATTACACTTGTCAATGATACCGGTCTATAATTAAGGGGGTCTTCCCTGCTTCCACTTTTGTAGATTGGAACTATGTTAGCCTTTTTCCACACATCAGCTACAACTCCTGTATACAGGGATACCTGAAAAATCAGTTGAAGAGGAATGCTGAGCTCAGGTGCACATTCTCTCAGAACCCATGGTGAAACTCCATCTGGACCAACTGCTTTGTTCTTACCGAGCTCCTTGAGCATTTTTTCCACTTCGTCTCTAGACACCTCTATGTGCTCTATGTTGTTCTCTGGAATTCTTATTGTATCTGGTTCCCTGAAGATTTCATTTTGTACAAACACACTTTGGAACTTTTCGTTTAGTGTTTCACACATTTATTTTCATTTTCCGTGAATCTATTTCCCATTTTCAACCTCTGAATATTATCCTTTACCTGCAATTTGTTGTTTATGAATTTATAGAATAGACCTGGTTCTGTTTTACATTTGTCTGCAATCCCATTTTCAAAATTTCTTTCTGCCTCTCTCCTCACTGCCGTGTAGTTGTTTCTCGCATCTTTGTATCGCTGGTATGTTTGGGGGTTTGGCCTCTTCCTGTATTGATTCCATTTTTGTGTCTTTTGGTCTCTAGCCCTCTTGCAATTTCTATTGAACCAATCCTGTTTCCTAGTTCTGCATATCTGTTTTGGTATAAATTTTTTTGTGCCTTTATCATATATTTCACAAAACTTGACATACATCTCATTCACTTCCTTGCCTAGCATCAAGTCTGTCCAATTATACTCACTAAAAAAATTTCTAAGGTCACCATAATGTCCTCTCCAGAAGTCTGGTTTTTCAACTGCTTCAACCTCCTTATTTTCTTCCAGCTTATAACGCATTGCATACTTTATTCCCAAAAAGACATGGTCACTTTTACCCAAGGGAGGAAGGTACTGAATATCAAATATCTCTTCCTCCTTCCTGGTAAATATCAAATCTAGCATGGAGGGAACATTCCCTTCCCTCATCCTCGTAGCTTGTTTAACATGTTGATACAAGAATGTTTCCAGTATGAGGTCTACAAATTTACAGGTCCAAAAATCTTCTGTTTTAGCTTCATATGCTTCCCAGTCTATGGATTTCAAGTTGAAGTCACCGACTATCAACAGTCGTGATCTATCATTATCCGCTCTCGCTATAATCTCTCTCATTATTGTTATAAGACCTTCACGTTTACTATCTAGCTCCTCCTTTGACCATGTGCTGCTTGGCGGTGGACTATATGCATTTATTATCATTCGTTTATCATTCTCATGGCAGATCTCTAGTGCTATTATGTCACCTTCTTCTGGATTGGCAGTCATTATTTCATTCACCTTTAGGTGTTCTTTTACCAGCACAGCAATGCCACCGCCTTTCCTAATTTTTCTGTCCCGTCTCCAAATTGAGTAGCCCCTTGGGAATATGACCTCATCTAAAATTACATCTTCAAGTTTTGTCTCCGTGAGTGCAACAATGTCTGGTGTCTGCAGCTGTATTACATCACTTAACTCCAGTATCTTCGATCTCACTCCATCTATGTTGGTGTATGCAATCTTCAGGAACTTGTTCCCCCTCTCCTTATTCTTCACTCCCCCTCTCTCTATTGATTTTGTTGGTTTGCCTTTATGTACCACTTTACTGGTTTGCCTACCCCTATCACTTTGTAGAAAAAAGAATTTATTTCTTCTTCATTCCTGCTCTCATTTAAATGTTTTGCCTCGGCGAGGTTCAGTTTCAGCTTCTCTCTATCTTCTTTTGAAAGATCTCGTCTTAACGACCACCCTTTCCCATCCTCAACACTTTGCAATTTTGTAGCATTCCTTAGTACTTCTTCCATCTGTTTGGCACCGTTTAGGGTGATCCTCAAAGGTCGATCTTTCCCTTTTACGTACCTGCCTATTCTCCTGTAGTCGCACACATTCTCTATGGTTGTAAGACCTTCCACGAGGCCAACAATTTTATCTACTACTTTAGCTTCTTCTACAGCTCTTTCTGAACTAGATGTTATCACCTTTTCTTTGCAGCCAAAAATGATCAGGGACTTACTCCGATCAACTGTGTTTTGCACCAACTTCGGGTTAAATGCCAATTCTTTTTTCACTTCTAGCCTAATGTTTGTTTTATCTTGGTTGCTGCAGTGTTTGACTTCCTTTACTGCTTCTTCTATTTTTTCCTTCTCCTTGGCCACTTGTGCATAAGTGAGTTGCATGTCTTTCTTGCACTGTTCTATTCCCTGTGTAACTTCCTCCATCTGTGCTGACAAAAGCTGTTTCTCCTGTTGAATTTCCTTGCCTAACCTATTGTAGTCACTTATGTTTAAATTTACTTTAACTTCTTCCAAAGCTATTTTTAAGAGTTTATTTTCTTCTTCCATGGCTTTGCAATTTGTTTCTATTGATTCTTATCCTTGCGCAAGTCTTTCACTAAACCCTCAAGACATAAAACTTTGCTATTCAAATGGTCATTACTTTCTTTCAATTTACTAATTATTTCTACATGAGAGTTCACTATAGTATCTAAATTCACCAACTTGTTATGTAGACTGCTAATATCAATGCTTTCTTCATTGAATCCCTCAAAATCAAGCTCTGTTTTGTTTTTCCCCTTGCCAGTGGCCATCTTGAATGTTCTTCTCTG